CTATATACGTTTTAAATTTAAAGCTTTTGATAATGAAAGCTAGTATTTAAAAAAAACCGACCAACTTTCGAATTGGTATCTAGATCTTTTTTTTGTGATTCATGCATTCGAGGTTTTAAATTTTAATTGGTAGCAATTATTCCTAGCTCCGTTTGCATGGAATCTATTTCGACTGTGTTTACAAAATATCTTTTTTAACGTACATTTTACAGTTATTCTATTTACAATTCAGTTGTACCTTCCCAATTATATATTCCACTGTAACTATGTAATGTTAAATTTTATTTAATATCCATTTATTCTCGAAGGTTCTGCATTAAACGTCCAGACGCTGACCAATTTCACGAGCCGACGCGCTCGGCGCCTGGACATATCCTCTCAAATATTATATTACACTAAGGATATCTTGATACTAACTTAATAACGACACTGACTTAGAAGGTATAAAAGCTCGGAATCTATTGTAAAATAGTCTGTAGAAACGTAGACAGTGGCCATCACACTATTTGTATGCTACGAAATTGTCGTAGATATTTGAGAGTTTGAATCTAGTTAATAAAAGCTTTAATGAACACGAAAATACATTGAATAAATACGTTTTTTTTTTTCTAATTCGCATATTAATGTAAAATCAGTCTATAATACATTTGCGTATTAGAATGTTCAGTGAAAGCTACCCAATGGCTGTAGGAAGTACCCTATCCTCTGCTCCTAAGGAGCCTGCACAATGGTTAAGCAATCGCAGACGCATTAGCTCTCGGCCAGTGTACACGGCGCCGGCGCCCGACTCTCGAGTGGTTCATGCTAATACTGTTTAGTTTACATTACATTTGGTTTCTATAGCAACGGCCGATTAAGTGTTGAACAAAAATACTTATTCAATATCTTAATTATGTATAGCAAAATAAAGCGTCTACGATTGGAGTAAGATAATAAGTAAAGTATTTGGATTCGGAATTTAATTAAGGTAAGAAATGCTGCAATTGGAAATATTACAATGTTACTATTAGTAAAGTCACGTGATGACTAGAAAATAGTAATATGATTGTTACTAGTACCAAAGACAATTTATCAGCCGACGCTGCGGCGTATGGCACCATGAGAGCTGGGCTTTTTAGAGTTAGGTCGCATCCCGCTGCATTATTTCCTGAATTACAGCGCGCATTGAGGCGTGAAATTGGACAGGGTCGGACTGAACGCCCCTGCAGCTTACTCATACTTTACAGCTCCTAATATAACCTAACTTTATATGCTTTACTGGTTAAAGCATACTTTAGCTTTGTAGAGAATCAAAACAAATAAGTATTTTGCAAGACAGAATTATGCAGTACAAGTGCCGCTGTAGTTCAGAGGTTAAGCACTTGTAACCGTTATGTGTTCGAATCCCACCATGTCCCAATGTGTTTTTCGATGAATATTTAGCCCCCAATGATCGCCTGAGTTTAAAAGAACACAGCACTTTAAGAAAAATAATTTTTAACCGAAGTTGTTCCGGTGAAGGTAAACATCATGATATAACCTGCAAATCTACAAAGAAAATCAAAGATATTAGTGAAGTCAACCAACCTGCAGTGGGCCAGTATAGTTTACTATGGCCTAATCATTAAGGGTAGGGATCCAGCCTCTCAGTGAGGATGTATGTGTAGCTGATAATGATAAAGATCTTTTTAATATACGAAGTAAACATAAAAAATACTGTATTTTATTCCTGCTAACTTCATTTCTATCTATATTTGATTAGATTAGAGAAATGCGGGGAAGTTTACTTGTATTTCTGTTGAAAGGCTGATCGTTCTCCGAGCAGTAGACAAAACCGTTCGAGTCTCTGCAGCCTGCAGCGTGCGATCAAATTAAAACTAATAAAAATGCAAACGAAGCCGCGGCCGCGCGCCAGAAAATCTTTCCTTAACTTTAATGAAAGGTGGAACTTGCTTTTTTTCTAAATTGTCTTTTCTATACAAGTAGTTTCTTCTTTGTAAAACTAGTTTCCTGCTACCTTTTTATTTCTAATTTCACGCAAATTCTTAACTGATATCTTAAGAATTATAAAGATATACCTATAATGAAACAAATATATTCACATAAACAAGCGCAAGACTGGACAGGATATCAATATTTAAGAAACCCTTATATAAATCTTAGGCAAACACGTTCCTACAAATTATTCTTCAGGTCTAAAATAGTATCAATAAATCCCGCGGTCGATCCGCGGCCAACTTTATAGTAAAGGCATCGAATAGTGGCGGCGATAAAAATGCGGAATCCTCTTGCAACGAATGGAATTGCGTATCGGAGCTCAGAGCGGGTGTAATCTGCCTAGTGCCTAGCGCCTACTGCCTACAGGACACTCCCGAGAGCCCCGCCAGCCGACCTGCAAGCCCGCAAAGATTATGCTAATGTAGACACGTCAAGATACTAAAATAACAATTGAAGATATACTACAAATAAAGTATAATACTGTAGAAATATTCAACCATCTATTTGATCTCATAAGTGGAACTTTAACTAAATAATTCTCTTTATCCTTGTTGCGTTAAATCAAGTCATAGGTATATTTACGAACATAGATATGTGTTAATGTTCTCCTGACACAGTAGAGCTGGATTAGCTACTAATTAAATCATCGAAGCGTATCCTAATTACTTAATAACTGAATAATTAGTACTTACTTGAACTTAGCTTCCATGTTTACTCACTGAAATCAATATATACACAACTTGAAACTTGGATGCATCGTTGATATAACTATGAACTTTTAACAAAAATGGAGGAAAACAGAAGGAAAACTAAAGATTTTTAGAAGTAGAGAAAATAAGGAAAGCACTTTATGTACGACTAGAGACAATTCTGTTATTAGAGCGGTCGCCTCATCTATGGCGGGTGCATGGAATCGCGCCAGAACTAAATGAAATTGAAATTAGCTTTCTCTCCCTAGAGGCGCTCGCGGAATTCACCAAAAATAAAAGCGTATTATATTTTAAAATAGACTCGGATCCTGCAGCGCGGCGACTTAGAGACAGGGAAGTGCAATTAAACATAATGTGTTGGAGAAGTACCTTTAACTATGTACTTTACTTTAAGATTGATTCTATCCAGATTCGATACGAATTTAGAAGCTCATATAAAAACAATTAAACGGTTCTCGTGCGAACACGAGACATGCCAATCGCGTATCTATTCGTCCAATTCATGAAATAATTGGAAAACGCTAAACAACAGACAATATAGACTAACAGCAAAATTGTTGTTTTACAATTCCAGTTAAATTGGATGCGTTACATCAGCTAATAAATTGTTGCATGTGCGTGCACAGTGCACAGTGCACACTACAACTGGAAGCAAATCGGGCAAATGCGATAAATTCGGGAGGCGCGTGTTGCGGCCATACCTATAAAGTGGGCGTTGTAACGGCTTACCGGGGACGTGTTTGCGTTCCGACGCAACGCTCAAAATTCAGAGCCGCGCATACTTGATGAGTGGCCGTGGGAATGACCGCGTGCCCACTGCCCACTGCCCGCTGCCCGCTGTGCTCCCATACATTCATTCATTCAATTGATTTGTCCGTGAAATACTAAGTGAATCACATACGATACTAAAGTATCGTATGGGATTTTTTCATTTTTAACACTGGCAACTGGTCTTTTTCCTTTATATTGGAACTACGGAATGTATCGCAATTAAACTCTGCACTAACTAAGGAATTGTTTATCAAATATAGTCATAACATGGATTTAATAGAACTTTAGAGTAAAGCATTATTTCGAAGAGAATATCCATTAAAAGCTATTGTCTATTGACCGTATTTACCGTTCAAAGATCTTCCCCAATACTCTTTAGGATCTTGTATTGCTTATCTATATTTATTTCTTGAAAAGCCTGTATGTTGGACTGGCGCGTTACTGTCGCACGACCTCACAAAAAGCCCGCCGCCCGCGGCGCCCTTTGCTGACCATACGTGCATCATACACACAGATCTATGAAATCTGGCAAAGTATGGATGCGGCATTTTATCCCGCAAGTATTATACGAACAAATATTTCCATGAAATTTTTAGTCTAATGTAAGATGAGCAATAAATAGCATATTTGTACATTTCCTAACTAATTTTTCTGTTTGTTCTTCAGAATAAATTGTAATTAATCAAGCAAACGTAGTGAATTCATAAAATTCAATAGTGTTATGCCACATCCATTTACCAGTACTTCCAACAGTGATCTCAGTATAAATTAGTTATGTTTTCAGTATTCAGGTTGTGTTGTGTTGGTTTTTTCGCTTCTCGGTGCGACCAGTCGTGCGCGACGCGATTGCGACGTGTTACCTTATATACTTACGATAGACAACAGGATAACAGCAAAGAGTAAATTTAAGAAAAAACATGTAATTAAATCCTCAAAAGAAATGGTTGAAAAGTTTAAATTTCTATTTTCTTTTGTTGTAAAGATATTTAAGGTATTAGGTATTATGATATCATGATTTAACAGTGGTAGAGCCCGCTTTAACATGTTCGCACGAATGGACTGGCTCGCCCGGTGTAATACCACGACCACGCGGAAAACAGGCGTGAAGTGGAAGCAATTCTGCGTTTCGTCTGATGAGTGTGGTGCCGGAGGCCTAATTTTGGTCCCTTTCCCTTCCCACCCTTTTTTTAAGAGGAAAGGATGGGAAGGGAAAGTGGATTTGCGGATGTTTATGGGCAGCGGTCGCTTTCCATTTCGGTGGATTCAGGTGGCCGCTTGCGAGTTTGCCAACTTATATTATAAAAAAAAAACAAGAAAGTAACTTGTGTGAAAGAGGATATGTTTAAGGGCGTGAAATTAGATAAGACGGCTGATAGAAATGTATGGAAGAGAAATATGTACGAAATATGGGGTCTTGAGGAGGGGAAAGGGTTTATTAACAGAAAAAAAAATCCTAAGTCTAATTTTACAATATGAAGAGAAGTTAAGAAAGAAATGTGATAGATTTTTAAGAAATAGAAGGGTTAAATAAAACTAATTTTGTAATAACAGTAACAATTTTATTGCAACAATTGTTAGAAAACAAAATATACACAATGAAGACATTTTACACCAGATAAATATTTTCTATCACAATATCCTACTTCTATGTAATTAATTACAAAAATTTATTTACATAAAAATATCAAATTTACTATTTCAGATTGCTTTTTGATTTTAAACCTTCTTACACTACATTTAAATCTATTTTAAAGGTGATTTTATACATTTCAGTGTTGCATCACTTTAAATAATAACAGTAATTTGAATTTGAATTTTATTTCGAATAAAAAAATCGATTATTTCATTCGAAATTTTTCGTATTTAAGCCACATTCAGACTTTAAACTCAAACAGTATTTAATTTAACTATGTGTTTGTAAAACTACTGTAATACAGAATAGACAGCAAGCCAATACTGACTTGTCCTAGATATCGGCACTATATCGATAGCTGTTAGAAAAACAACTGAAGTTACATAGTTCAGAAACGTATCATGAAGTTATCGAACCAATAAGTAACGAATGTATAAATGTAGCTGAGAAACCGGCCATAAAGATGTAAGTGGTGTTCAAGCCGTTTTAACCTTCCTGTTTTTGAGCAGGCTGGTGAGGAAGAACTCGCCGGCGCGGTAGGAGGACCTGACGAGGGGTCCGCTGGCGGTGTAGAGGAAGCCCAGCTCGGCGCCGCGCCGCTCCCACTGCTGGAACCTGGAGGGCGTCACGTACTCGAACACCTTGAGGTGGCGGCGCGTGGGCTGCATGTACTGGCCCAGCGTCACGCAGTCCACCCCCGCTGCTCGCAGCTCTGAAACATTACAATCTTTACATATGATAAAATGACATGATATTCAAACCATGGCAACCTTGCTTCCTCGATGTTGACGGCAACTTGTGATCCATTTCCCACATTAGAGTTTTTATCCAAAATATTTGCCTTCTAAGTTTAATGGCCTTCAAATGTATAGCCTAAAGCGTGATATACGTGTAAGGCTTTTTATTAAAAATATAGATATTCAAAAATATGGTGTAATTGCTGACATCTTAGGCAACAAAGAAGTGTGTGTTTACGCTTTATTATAATAGTATAGATTGAAAAAACAGATGAATTTACGTTGCTGATAACGAAAATCGCATTTAAATTTGTCTGTCTGTCTATCAGATTGTAAGTTACAATTACGTTCGAATTTTATTGGTTAAGATTTTTTAATTAAATATTCGGCTGTTCGAATTTGTAATATTCTCTTATAGCTTACAATTTAAATAATCAATGAAAAAAAAAACATTGATACCTTTCATAGTCTGCTCCACTTGTTCATCAGTCTCCCCCAGCCCCAGCATGATGGAGGACTTGGTCACCAGCTCGGGGTTCACCTCCTTCGCCGTCTCCAGCACCTTCAGCGTCTGACGATACCTGCACAGACGTATACAATAACAATTATTAACCTAATCATTACCATTTTTTTTTAATTATAACAAAATTAAAATACTAAATTATAAATAGCGTTACACAACACAACACAAATGCGGTTCAGCGCCATCTACAATCATTGTTAAACAATTTTTGATTGTTTGGTTAAAGCGCCATCTATTGGACAATGCATCATACTACATTGAAAACTATAATCGTTTACTCTCGTCCAATCTACTGTGTATCAAATAAAATAGCGTCATTACCCTGCTCGCCTGTCCCTCACGAAGGGGGTAAGTCTCTCCACTGTCTCTATATT